CTTGAATATCTCCAGAGAAGGAGACTCCACAGCCTCCCTGGGCAGCCTGGGCCAGGGCTCCGTCACCCTCAGAGGGAAGAAGTTCTTCCTCATGTTCAGACGGAACTTCCTCGGTTGTTAGGCCGGCGTGGCTGTAACGACACGCTCCTGCTCCGCGCAGATGCAGCTTTCCCTTGCGAAAGCGCTGCTGCCCGGTGGAGTTCTCCCTGCGCGGGACGCGCTCTCGCAGGCGGGCGCTGGTAGCTCAGCAGAGGCCGAGCTGGCCGCAAGCGCTGCAGCGCAAAGAATGCGTTCCCTAGCGTAGGCTTAGAATAGCTCATCCTGGAAAATGGCATGGTAGGGCTCCGTCCCAAGTAAAAATAACTGGAAGTTTGGTACATAACAATTTTGTAGAACTCTTTTTAGCAAGCCAGTAATAGAAAAGCAGATCCTGAGCCTTGCCCTGTAATTACAGCTGGGAGTGCTTACGGGAAGCTTCCAGAACTTCCACGGGAGCGAGCTGAAATTGGACAAACTTCTGTTCTGCCTGCAGAAATCACGATAGGCTTTGGAGCGGCCGAGTGATTTTTAAAAGACGTTTTGAAAATACTGTCAGCCCCGGCGCTCCTCGTGTGCGTGGGGAAGCTGGGATGGAATCTGGTTTTGGGATGGAATCTGCTTTGTCATCTTCTTGTGTAACCGAAAGATGTGCTTCCTGTTTGCACATGCGGCTCGCGCAGCTCGCTCGCTCTGCGCCTTGACATCTGTGTCAGCAGTCAGCTGTTGGAGCTCCCGACAGCTGAGTTTGGCTCTCGGTCCCGAAAAAACTGGAAGGAGGTAGCAGTGGGGTGGTGTTTGCTGACGGCTCCCTCGCTCTGTGCAGGCAGCAGCCTTCTGACAGGCCCAGAGGGGCTGATGGCCAAGGAGCGTGAGAACCTGAAGCGCCTGAAGTGCCTGCGCCGCTACCGGCAGCGCTACGGCGTGGAGGCCCTGCTGCAGTCTCTCCTCTCGTCCCTTCTGGGGGTGATCCCAGGCCAGGTGTGCTCTGGCCCTGCCGGGTTGTCCCTTTCCGCAGGGACTCAGAGGTCCTGGCCGGCAGCCTTGGTATCCACACCTTGGCTGAAGCGTTGGAGGTTCCTAAAGTCATTTTAAACAGGCACCGAAACTGCAAAAGCTCAGTTGTAGGGTTGGGGAATCTTCCCTTTTGAAAGGGATGAGGGAACCTGAATTTTGTCGCTGAAAAACGTGTGGAAAACGCTCCTTTTGGTGGAGAAACCCAGACTCCTAGACCCGTGGGGAGCAGAAGGCAGGCCCCTCGCGTCCCATGTGGTGCTGACTTTGAAGCTGTGTGTGCAGCCATTCCTTTGTTACTGTTTTAAAATTCAAAGCGTTCCCTTCGCTGACTTCTGGAAGGTGAAAGATGAGCGTGAGAAGCCTCCTTCTTTCAGACATCCTTCCGAGGTGAAGTTTGTCCTATTGAAACTGAGTCATGCCTTATTATCTGGGCTCTGTTTAACGAAAGCCTGAAGGAGGGGGACATGATGAGGAGCTGGAGCTTGGTCTTGGCGTGTTTTGAAAGCAGGACGCGAGTGTTGTGTAGCCGAGGGGGTTTCTCTGGAACGGAGCCGGCCGAGTCCCCGGCGCAGCCCTGAGCTCCTCTCTCGGCCTCGCAGGCGCACACCACCCGCTCCAGCCAGAGGTGCTTGGCCTTTGTCGACGATGTCCGATGCTCCAACCAGTCCCTCCCGATGACCAGGCACTGCCTGGCGCGTATCCTTCGCTCTGCCCTGGGCTGGTTGCTGGCGGTCGAAGCGTGTCTGATCCTGCCGCTTGCTCTTTGGCCCTGAATCAAGGCCGTCGGTTTGCCGTAGCCGTTGGTTTCAAGCAGAGGCCCAGAGGAAACGTCTCCCGGTCTGTTGGCGCTCCCGTCCCCGTGGAACGACTAATTCGTGTGGGAGTGACAATGTCCTGGGCTTGCCCTCGCCTCTGCCCGGGCAGGTCCCGCCGCAGCCTTCCTGCCGCACGCTGGCTGCTCCGGAGCATCCCGGCGGGG